ATTAACTAATGGTGGTGTTTATTTTAACTTGAGAAGGATTTGTGTTGAGATATAAAATGAGCATCTGAGAGAGAAAAGTGCAGCAGCTTTAGGAAATAAATTTTTAAAAAGGCAAAGACTACAAATTAGCCTAAATAAGTGACTGATTAAATCTTTACTAAACAAATTAATTTGCATTGGGGAATTTATTCCTAGATTGTCACTATAGTTGGTTTTAGAACTAACATGACAGGATAGAAAAAAGAAATTAAGATTTTTCATAGACAGTTCTGGTAGGAAGTAGAAAGGAGAACTGATTGCTCTTTATAATATTTGTTTATTTTGTTTCATGCTAGAATCCATAAAGCACCATCAGATAATTCCATTCAGTCCATACAAAAGCTCTGTGATATAAGCAGTTATCCTATTTTTGAAATGAGAAAATTGAGGCTCAGACGGGCTTAGTAACACTCCCATGTTTAGATTGCCAGTAAGAAGAGGAAAACTGACTTGGAAACCTTGGAAACCAAGAACATCACTCTCTGATCATTTCCATGTATTCTAGCATGTTTGATCAATACACTGGGCAAGCCTTTTCTGCTTAATTTATTTGATGTACTTCTAAATATGTTGTATCTTAGTTGAACAATTTGTAGTGTTCTGGGTTTTTTTTTTTTTTAGATGAACCATTTATAAGATTCAGCTGGTTCTTTAGAAAAATTCAAATCCATCCGTTCTCGACTATACATCACTGGTGAGTGTGCTACTTACTTCTGATGGCCAGGTTTGCATGAGCAGTTAGTTTTGGAGTCTTTCTGCTCTCCATCTATCCACTTAGATGGAATTTTCAGGTAAAAAGTTGGAAACTCACTTTAAATAAGCCATAGGATACAGAGTGGGTATTTTATCCTACATGTTTGAAAATACCAAATATTACTATTGACATGATTAAAGTAAAGAAATTATGCTTCATCAAATTAAAATGTGAACAACCCTTAACTTACTTTGTTTCTGCGAAAGGATGTTTTTGCCCTGAGCTGCTGTGGTCAACCATCTGTTAATGTCTTTTGTATTTTATGTCAGTAGGACAACTAACATAGCTACTTCACTGGTTTCTGCAAATATTAATTGAATCAAATCTGTTTCAAGCCAAGCAGGTAAGGTGCTCAATTTTCAGATTAGTAAAGATGGCTCTTCTGCTGAGTTCTCGTGAGCTAATACTCCACATAACAATTCTAATTAGTCAACTGGTTTTTCTCCTGTTTGCGATGGGGTGTGGCAGCTTTCTGACAAGTCAAAAGAAAATGAGTCACTGATTTGGTGCTAAAACATGATTATGCTTGCTATAATGAAAACTCACTACAAATATTACAACTGAAAAAAGTAGCATGTACTATCTGGTAGACAAATGCCTTTTGTTAAGCTGAAATATTCCATTTCTTCATCAAATCCCAGATGGTTCAGCACTCAGTAATCTTATGCCAGAAGCATTTTATATGGATGGATGTTGAGATAATGGAAGTGTGTGTGAGTGTGTGTGTGTGTCTGTATCTAGGTAAACAGACAGACCATCATCCAAACAAGCCCGAGACTTTAAAAGCATTTAGTTGTCAGCCACACCTCAAACTTCCGGGATATCCCCATGTTAAACTTTGGAGAGGGATTGTGGGCTGCATTTAATAAGTGAGAGATCCTTAGGTTGAGTTAACTCCATTAAAGAAGAAGAAAAAGAAGAACTCGTTTCTTTATCCTTGACACCCTACTATAAATTGTCTTGCATAGAGCAATTTAAAACAGTGAGGGAGGGCAAAGAATGAGATACAGAGAACGTGTGAAACAGCAAGGTCAAATTCAAATTCTCAAGCCAGCCCTTATAACTAAGGCACTGACCACTCGGCTGCCTCCGTGGGCGCGAGGCTGAGCTCTGAGCAGCCCGGATGGGCATGGATGTGGACTTCGCCTTCCTCCCAAGGAACTTAGGTGATCTTTTTCAAGTCACAAAATCAAAACAAACTGAAAAGGTTTTAGATATGGCTTCTTCCTTGTGGTAGGAAATAGGCTGTCTCATCTAAGAGACCCCCGTTGGTTTGGATCATGGTTCTTTTTCCGTCCTTTTTGCAGGACATCACCTTTTAAGATAGCCTCTCCCATCTCCCTGGGGAAGGACTGGGCGTGGTCTGCCCAGAAGGACGGGGGAGACTGTCCCCACCCGCCTTTATTCGCAGACTGGTCATGAGCCGTCATCCTTGGCTTCCTTTAATTTCTGCCTTTAAATAATATAGCTCTCTCAGGGATGTTTTGAGTATTAATGTCAAAAAATCATCCTAAGAAAAGCCCAGGATATTTATGAAAGCGCCATTAGCAACAGCTGTGATCTTTTTGCCGTGATTAATTCTGCCTTATTAATACATACATTCAAATGAAATGTAGGTCCTTTGGCCAAATAGAGAGAAGAGGCTTTTGAAGGTTTGTTTTGTTTTGTTTTGAATAATTTTTGGTGGGCTTTACACCTTGATTGAAAATTTGAATCACACACCAGCTTTTGTGACTGTAGAATAATCTAATTAATGTCTCAGCATGAAAAAAATCTTCTTATTGGATTGCTTCAAGAGAATTACCTTTTTAATTCAAGAGAATTATCATGTTTGAGTTAAGTGACAATAGATAACATGCATTCTGGATACAGATCTTTTTCATAGGATATCTTTTTTATATGCCTAGAAAAAAGACTGCAAAGACATAATAACTACAAATAGGGCTTTTTTAGTGTTGTTACAGGTAGTTTTTATTTTATGTTTTGAACAATGAACGTGTTTTCCTTTTATTAGAGAAACTTTAAGTTATTTTTGAAAAGAGGTGGGTGTGGGATCTTGCTGTTTGTTGTCACCATAGCAAAAGGGCTCCTTGCTCTTCTGTGACGTGAGCTCTTTTTGTCACACAGCTTGACAATGTTCAGAGCAGCTTTTGGGATGTTTTGCCTTCTCTTCTTTTTGAGATAGCCAAATGTTTTTGTTTTTTAATTGCAAATAATTAAGGGAAAAAAATGAACCGACAAGTTTGTTTGATTCTTTATATTTTTCAAAATAAGTAGTGGTCATGCTTTTGGAAATTAGGGTGTCTGTATTTTGGGTGGAAAGACCCATCTCATGGTGCCACCAACCACGGGGTAGAAGGAAGGTTAGATGGAAGAGAGGATCACCTTTTATCTTCTTTCAGGAGCCCATCCCCATCCTCCTGCTCGAGGAGGGGCTTTCTTCATCTTCAGCCTTTCCTTCATGTCCAGAGTCATGGAGCTGTCTGTACTCTTAAGGTCTGTGCATTTCAAGTATGTAAATGTTATAAAGTACTGGACACCATACACACAAGACGCTCCTTCCCTGTCTCTTCTTCCCTTTGCCCAGATCTAACTGGGAGCTTGTTGATACTTTTTGTCCACATTTTGTCACTTTCTGCTCCCCCCAACCCACTGCTGTGTCACTGCCTACCCTTTCTGCCAAGAGGGCTCATGCCCTCGGGTTTCTGAGTCCCTGGTTTCCATCCCAGTTCTCGTCTTTTGTGCTGTCAGCAGCGTTTGACTGCCCTGCCTTGTAGAGCCGCGCCATCCGTCATCCATCCATCAGCGCCCCCCGCCCTCCGTCCATCATCCCATCAGCCATTGTGTGGTCCATCTGTTCCTTTCTCCAATATCCATCCATCATTCCTTGCAACCACCTTCGACTTGGCCCACTTGAAAAAAACCTGATTTTTTAGATGGTTTTAGATTTGCAGAAAAATTACAAAGATAGTACTTCATGTACTTTGCAACCAATTTTACTTATTAGGAACATCTTAATTTAGTGTGATATGTTTGTTACAATTAATGAACCAGCGTCCATACATTATCTTAACTAAAATCCACACTTTATTCAAATTCCTTAGTTTTTACCTAGTGTACTTCTTCTGTTCCAGGATTCCATCCAAGATACCACATTACATTTTAGTTGTCATGTCTCCTTAGACTCTTCTAGGCTATGACAGTTTCTCAGATTTTCCTTGTTTTTTAATAACCTTGACAGTTGTGTGAAGTACTGTTTAGGTCTTTTGCAGAACGCTGATCAAATGGGATTTCACTGATGTTTTTCTTATCATTAGACGTGGATTATGGATTTGGGGGAGGAGGGCCATAGAGGTAAAGGACCGTTCTCATCACATCCTGTCAAGGGGCTTCCTATCAACATGACTTATCACTGATGGTGCTAACCTTGACCACCTGGCTGGCGTAGTGTCTGTCAGGCTTCTTCACTGTAAAGTTACTCCCTCTCCCACTTTCCGTACTGTGTTCTTTGGAAAGAAATCACTATGAGCTCTCCGTTCTTGAGGAGAGGGGAGTTATGCTCTAACCCCTTCTGTTTCTACATAATTCGTATGGAATTCTTCTGCTTGGGACATTCGTCTCCTCTCCTCCATTTGTTTATCTAGTCAATAGTTTATTTAAATCATTATGAACTTGTGGGTATTTATTATGTACTTTGGGTTAAAAGTCAGTGCTTCTGTATTTATTTAGTTGCTTAAATTGTTCCCACTTTAAGAGCTGTTTCAGTTGGCTCCTTTATTATGTTTGACAAACTCCCATCATTGTGTGTGTGTGTATGTGGTTAATACTTCTTCACTTTCTGGCACTACAAGGTGTTCCAAGTTCATCTTGTATATTTCTTGTCCCAGGTGTAGCATCAGCCATTTCTCCAAGGAGATCTAGTTCCTTTTATTGGAAAGTGGTATTAGAAACCAAGACATGGATACTCAGTGTGCTTGTGGCTACTGGGGTGTCATTATTTCCAGGGTCTCTCAGCTGTCAGAGTAAGGAAATGTATGCATGTATACTAACCTGTGAATGTACATGTGTCTGTAAATATTTCTATAAGTGACCATCAGTATCTAGATTAAGCAAACATGAGTTCAAGATGATGTCTCCAACTCTAATCTACCACCACATGGATTATTCTAGCCTCTTTCTCTTGCCCATCTGTAAATTCTCACTCCATCAGTGAGACACGTGGGGTTCCCACCACCTGCCACCCATTCACTTAGTTGTTTGATTGTGGCATACAAGTATAGCAGTGTCAGAATCATTAACACACACCCCTCGGAACACAGCGTAATCAGCTAGAGTGCAGTGCTTATGTGCAGTTCACCTTGCATTTAGACTTAGACTCTACTGGCTTCCAGTTACTTAGGTCAGCACCTTTTCCCCATAGCGCCTTCAGTGGGCTTGTTTCATACATTTTTAATATAGTTACATTGTTTTGTCACATTCTGCATTCCATTTTGGGATTCCCCAGTCTCTTAAATTATTTTAAAAAATTTGCGTACTTAAGATTTGTTCTTTGTGTCGTAAAGTTCTATGTGTTTTGACAAATACATGGTGTCATGTATCCACTCTTACAGTGCCATATAGAATAGTTTCATCACCCTAAAAAATCCCCTGTGCTTTAACCATTCAGCTGCCCCCACTTCTCCCTGAGCTCCTGGCGACCACGAATCTTTTTGCCATTGCCATAGTTTTGCCTTTTCTAGAATGTCATATAATTGGAACCATGTAGTATGTAGCCTTTTCAGACTGTCTTCTTCCATTTAGCAATCTGCCTTTAAGATTCATCTACCTCTTTTCATGACTTGATAGCTCATTTCTTTTTATAGCTGAATAATATTCCATTGTGTACTCAAAGACACAACAATTTGTCCTTGCAGCTATGGAAGGACATCTTGGTTGCCTCCAGTTTTTGGCAATTATGAAACAACCTGTCATAAACATTTGCAGACAGGCTCTTGTGTGGATATAAATTTTCAAGTCATTTGGGTAAATATGCCAAATATACTTTTAAATGCTAGGGACGCAGATGTTAGGGATATGGCAGGGAACCAGAGAGGCAAAGTCCCTGTGCTCTAAAACCAAATACCATAAACAAGACAAAATGATTTCAGCTTGTGAGAAGTGCTGTGAAAGAAATAAAACAGACTAATGGGATAAAGAATAAATGACTGTAGCCAGGTTGATGGGACCAGGAACGGCTTCTCTGAGGAAGTTTGTTGCATTTGAACCAGGACCTAAATTACAAGAGATGTCACCGGCTGTGCAAAGACCCAGGAAGCCGAGCTTTCTCCCAGTGGGCTCAGTCAACGCTGATGGAACCTGACATGGTCAAAAGACTAGGGACAGAAGAAAATATGAGATGAGATCATAAGTGGAAGTATTTTTTGAAAAACTTTTTCTTGTAGTATAACATACAAAATACGCAAATCCTAAGTGTGCAGGTTGACCAGTTGTCTCGAGTTGAACCCACAGTGTAATCACCATCCAGGTCAAGAAACAGAACATTGCTAGCACCACAGAAGTCTCTGTTGTGCCCTCTTTCCACCGTTAGCATCCCCACCCACTGCCTGCAAGGTACTCTGATTGCCTTTTAAAATAATTTTTATGTCTGTGTCTTTTGTTCAACATTGTGTGAGATGCACCCAAATCGTTGTACGCCATTGAGATTTGTTCACTGGAGTTGCCATATAGTATTCTATGTGCAAATACATCACAGTTGGGTTTTAATGTGTTCTGCTTTTTATGGGCCCTGGGGAGATTTCCAATTTGGGATTATTCTGAATTGAGCTGCTGTGAACATGATCGCACACGTCTTTTAGTGAACATATGTCTGCATTTTTGTTGGGTTATAGCCATAGTGGTGAAATTGCTGGCTCGTAGGGTAGGCATATGTTCAGTTTTGCTAGATACTCCTAGACAATTTTCCCAAGTAATTATAGACCTACATTCCCACCCCACAGTATCTGGAAGTTCCAGTTGTTTCACATCCTTGCCAACACTTGGTATTTTCACTTTTTCATTTTAACCATCTGTTAGGTATATAATGTTATTGCAGTGTGGTTTTAATGAAGTTCAGTCCTTTTTCATGCTCATTGGCCCTTTGGGTAGCCCTTTTGTGAAGTGCCTGTTCAACTCTTTTGCCCATTAAAAAATAAACCTTTGGATTGGGTTGTCTGTCTTACTGTTTTTTAATGTATCCTGGATACTAGTCTTTGCACATCCTAGATATCAGTCCTTTATCAGAAATACGTGTTTTTTAAAAAAGAATGTACCTGGTGAACACAGCCCCCAGGGGCTCTGCTTCCATCCCTGTTTGGCAGCTAATTGCTGGTGTGCTCCGTCCTGCCCTGTGGGCAGGGCTGAGGCCTCCTCAATCTGTGGGGACAAAGCAGGGACAGGCATGAGTGGCTTCCAGACTCTTGTCCCTCCTAGGATCCATCCCACATTCCCTTGACCACAGCCTGCAAAACTGAACAGAACTGGGACCTTTCTTCCAGTTCTAAACATTCATTCTTTTCTATTCCTGTTTGGTGGCCTTTGGTGCTAGCAAGTAACTTACACTTAAAAGTTTTTCTGGTATTCTTTTCTCTTATAATAAAATAAAATATTTATTCCAGAAAAAAAGAAATATGTGTTTTATGTATTTTCTCCCACTTGTGAATTGCTTTTTTCACTCTTTTAATGTTTAAGTGTTTTTTGGTGAACAGAAGTTTGTAACGTTGGTAGTCCTGTTTACCAGTTTTTCCATAGTTAGTGCATTTTGCATTCTGTTTAAGAAATCTTCGTCTGCTCCAGGGTCACGAAGATGTTCTCCTCTATTATCTTTTGGATCCTTTGTGTTTTACCTTTGGTAGTTATATCTGTAATCTATCTGAAATTGATGTTCGTGGATGGTATACTGTAGGGATCCAGATTCAGTTTTTCCCATGGGGGCATCCAGTTGCCCCAGCACCACTCATTGAAAAGATCACCCTCTTCCCCACTGTGCTGTGGTCACAAAACACGGGACCTTGTGTGTGTGGGTTTGTTATAGATTCTGCAGAGTGTGTTTTCATGCTGGGTGGGACCTTCCCAATTTCGTCACCAGACTCCATCTCCAGTTCCTGGCACCGTGGCCCCTGTGCTGTAAATGGTCAGTAAGTGCCAGGTAGTTGATGGTCAGGTCTGAACCTGCCTTTCAGTAAGAGTGTGTGAAAACCCTAGGTTCAGGTTCAAAGGAAAGATACTAAGATCTCATTTTAGAGAAGACTTTACTTGACTAGTTAATAATATTTCTTCAGCAGGGCCAGATGTGGGTTTGGACAGGTCCTGCTGGCCTAAGTCCTGGGGAAGACCAGTCCAGTGAGTAAGGCCGCATCTGTGCGACCACCCAGCCCGCCACCCAGTAAATACTTGTCACGGGCTTACCATAGGCCAGGCGTAAAGTAGAGCTATGAAATAATGGGATTCATTCCAGAGTTTCTATTTTTGATTTTAGAACATTGGTTCTAAAATCTTTCTTTACAAGTTAGACGCTCAGTGCAAGGAGGGTAATTTTTGGAATTTTCTTCTGTTTCTGAGATAGCTTTGTTGTTCTATTATAGTTATGTAAAATTTTTGGTGTGTGACAGTCTGGGGTAAACATGCAACAAGCCTAAGAATTAGAGGCTTTATGTTGCTATCAGCTATTTTAAAACAAAACCCTACAAAAGAGAAGGGATTAAACAAAAAAAAAATTTGAAGCACATTATTTCATCCAGTGAATTTAGTGAGCAGTGAGCTACTCTTCTTATTTTTGTAGTTTAGCATCAGCCCAAAGCCCACATTCAAGGAAACAGAGACACGCATTGTCAGGAGGTTGGCATCGTGCCTAGGAGGGGAGTCACGGTCTTACATCAGATTGCCCTGCAAGTGGACCTTCCGCTGGGCGCTGCTCCTGGTGCCTGTCCACCGGGGACCTGTCAGTGGATGGCATGTCCATGGCCACCATCTTGCTCTGTTATGCTGGGGACCCAGTTCATGTCCCAGGACCTCTGTGCTCCCTGCCCTGGTCCAGGGCTGTGAATGAGAAGGGATGGACTGGGCGGAGGCCTGAAGCTGGAGCTGGACGGTGGGGCTGTCTCCGCTAGCACTTCCTTGCCCACTGCTGCCTGTTTCTGGTGGTTTCCAGTTGCAGCTGCTCAGAGCCCTTTGTGCACGCTGGGAGAAGCAGCCCAGGAGCTGGGCCTCCGCCTCAAGAGCGGGGCGTAGACTGGCGAGAGAACAGGGTGTCTGTGCTGTGGAGTATTGCTTATGGGCAGCACTTTGATTTGTTTTCTTATTTAGTGAATGTTAGCCTTTCTTTTTCTTTTCTTTTCTTTTCTTTTCTTTTCTTTTCTTTTCTTTTCTTTTCTTTTCTTTTCTTTTCTTTTCTTTTCTTTTCTTTCCTTTCCTTTCCTTTCCTTTCCTTTCCTTTCCTTTTCTTTTCTTTTTTTCTTTTAGTTTGTCTCAGTTGAATACTTTGATGTATTGAGTGAAACCTCACCTATCCAGAAGTTACTTATTTGGAACACAGTGGAAAACCTGAAAGAAAGCCGAGTGGGTAACTCTGAGAACCTGAGCAGCCGCCCTGGCGTGTTTGTTCGTTCTTTCTTGGAGAGAGCCTTAGGCTTTTGAGAGAGGCTGTTTACTCTTACTTTAGCCATGGTTTTAACAAGCTTGGTTTTCTGCCTTCTTAGTTCACTGAGACTTAGAAGCAGCAAAGCAGGCTGCTAGTAAGTACTGGGAGAACATCTCGAAGTGACAGCTGACAGCCTGACAGTAAGGGGGTTGACAGAGAATCTATAAAAAGCTCAGAAGATTGGAGCCATCTTCACAGGAGACAAAGAGCTCTCTGTGCATCCGTGGCCTGGAGGGATGCAGTGCAGCAGCACGTCTGACCCGAGTCCTTAAGAAAATACCCAGTTATATTGGTAGCCTGCGCATCAGAAGGCAGGTTCACTTACAGCAATTTTCAGAAAAAGAGTGTAAACATTGGTTATCTGGAATAATTTGCTTACATGGTTAGAGACACTGTTTTCCTCAAGATACTAAGTAGATAAAACAGTTCTCCCTTTCTCCCCTTGTCATCCCATCGCTCCTCCTTCTCTCTCCCCAGTTCTGCTGCCCTCTTCTTGCTTTCTTCCCCCCTTTTCTGTATCCCCTTCCCCTCCCCACCCTCCTTCCTGCCTTCCTCCTCCCACCCCGCTGTCTCCCCTTAACTGCTTTCCCTTCCACTTTCTCTCCTCTCTCCCCATCACCTTCTCCTCCCCAGAACAAGACCATTTCCCGTTTGCATTGTCTTTGAAGGACACTAGTGTCTAGGGTGTTGCTGGTAAAGATAGAACAACCAGCTCTCAGGGGAAAACTCCCCTGATGTATAGCACTTGCCCATGTCCTTGGTGTTAACACTCCTTCCATGTTTGATTTCAGGCTGCCATTGTAAAGTCACTGAACTTGGAGCAGGGAATTAACCTCAAGAGTGTAGACAATAGTGAAATGTAATGCAATCATCAGAAAGCGATGAGTTTTGAGTATTTATTAACTTTAAAAATATAATTAATTTACTTGTGTGTTTCTAAAATTTAATTTTTAATGCTGACTGATTAATAGCTGGCTTGTAAAATTCCTGAAAATCTGACAGTTATCTCTCCTGAGCTGTATCAGCCAGCTCCAGCACCCCATCAGAGCTGAGGGACGCTATGTAATCTTCCTAACAACAGTCTAAACTCTGTGAGAGCATCCCAGAAGCTCAGAGATCATCTGTTCTGACTTCTCTGCCTGACACCTTAGTTCCATCTGCAGCCTGGTAAAAGGATATTCCAGGACTCCTGCTGCTCAGATTTCTCCTGCCCCAGTACGGCATCCGTGATTGACGGACACATTTGAAAGTTCAGGCACTTTCTTCAGCCTCCAAATTGGGACTGGAATTTAATCTCTTTCTCCTGTTGCTTTCTAGTTTCATTCTTAGGAAAACAACCTGATTTGTGATTTCATTAATTTAGCATAAGACATGTGTTTGTAGGGGCTCTTTTAAAGACCGCCAAACTATGTCATTAAGTAAAATCAACAATATTTTTTAGCATTTATTATGTGGTAGGCATTCAGGATCTCTCCTGTTTTTTGCTGAAGAATTTATTTTACTGATTCATCACTCATATTTTAAAGGATATTCATTATATAGGTTTTATTTAACCTGTATGTGTTCATTATATGGTATATTCATTCACAGGTATGTGTGTATATGTATATATACATATACATATACACACATACACACATATGTATTTATGTATTTATTATATTATTCTTTCAACATTCAGAACTTCAAGTTATCATAGGTAGGAAATACTTGATTCTCTCAGGCCAGTGAGACTAGACAGCTTTCTAGAAGATCTCTCCAACCTTGGGGCGCTGGTGCTTTTACGACCTGGTGAAGCTCTTTTGTGAGTATGTTTTTGGAAATGCAGCAGACCACGCATGGCCTTCTGTGTGAGGCTCCATGGAAGGGGTGGGAAGAACATGGCCTCAGAGTCAGGAAGACCTGAATTATTGAAGCTGAGGTTACAGATTTTTTTTTTTTTCCTTAAGAAGCCTTGGCTTGTTCTGGGTCTCAAGATAAAATTCTTTGGAAATGCTACCTGACACCTCTCCTGGTGGGCGGAGCTGCTGTAACAGGAAGCAGTGTGGGTGAGGGTGCTGTGGGTGTAATGGGTTGGGGGATGGGCTCGTGACAGGAAATGTGAGCGCAGTAAATTGAGAGGATGGCACGGCAGTTCTATGTCCCTAGGAGGCCAGGCCTGCCATGGGGCTGGGTGTGGGCATGAGGTCGTGCCCTCCATGTTGGGCTTGGGCACCTGCCTTCTTGGTCTTGCATCAGCCACATTGCTGTCTAAGTTGGTCGATCAACTTACCGCCTGAACTCCAAACCAGTACTTGTCATGGCTTCCCTTTTTATTGATCATGAGAGGAACCACTCAAAAAGAGTTGGAGGGTTTTGATTTTGTTTTTGAAATAATTTTGAGTTTACAGAACAGTTGCAAAGATAGTACTAAGTTTTCCCACATCCCCTTCACCCAGCTTCCTCTAATGTTAACATCTTATAACTGAGTACATTTTTCCAAACTAAGGAATCCACAATATTCTTCTTCTCTTCCAGGACATAATAATCCAGGATATTTCATGGCATTTAGTGGAGTTGCTTTTTGACCCCTTCTCCCATGTCCCACTCACTCTTGGAGCTGCCTAATCCAGGCCCTTACACCTGTCCTTCTTTTTCTGGAACAGGTGCCTGGACCCAGCCCCAGCCCCTTACCACTCACATGTGGACCCTGGCACATTATTATAGGACCCCTGTCCCCAGTTCCCCCACCTTCTTCTGAAATGCCCTGAGCATTGACTCTTTGCAGGTGGCTCAGATCTCTCCCTGCGTGAGAGCTAGGCTCCCCACGGCCTCCTTCCTCACCTTCCAACGTCATCTTTCCACTCTCCAGTCAACTTCCACCTCTTCTGCAGACGCCGGCTCTCTGGGCAGCCTCCTTCACACTGCTGAATATCTCATAATAGCTAACCTGAGTCCTACTTGTGTGCCAGAAACCGTGTTAAGCTCCTGACATGCTTTATCTCAATCTTCAGGACAGTACCTATGAGGGGGACTGATTAGGAAACCGAGGCACACAGAAGGTAAAGTAATGGCCCATAGTCACAATACTGGTATATGGTTGAACACGGATTTGGACTGAGGACCTTAAAGTTCATCAGCACACCAGTCTTGTCTCAGATTCAAGGTGGCCCAACGTTCCCCTCCCCCAGACCCCCCCCTTTCTCAGTTAGGCTCCTACCCATCACCCAAAGCCCCAGTCAGGCCTCATCTCCCTGGTGTTTTGCATTGTAGGCTGAACTCAGTCTCCTTACCCAGCACTTCTTAGTATTTATAAATCAATTAAAAATAAACGCTATGGCCTCACTGCCCTGGCACCTGCTGTGTGCTGCCGGTGCTGTGCTTTCCTATGAGCACGTGTCTTATTTTCCTAATTCGTCTGTAAGCCTCGAGGGTAGGAACTTTGGTTTATAACATATTGTGTCCTCCAGAAAGTCCAGCAGATTTTCCCTGTTCAATAAATGTGTTTTAAGAAGTGTGATTTCCTGGAATATCATTTGATCATGAATAGTGAAGTGTGCTTCTTTCTGGGTCTCATTCTACTTGAAACATACAGTGAATGGCTTGAACACTGCTTACAGTGCTGCTATGGCATTTAATCCCCATCGAGCAAATAATAAAACCAAAAAACAATAAGCCTTCCCCATATTAACTCTTTATCCTCATAACAAACCTATGAGGTGGGTGTTATCTTTAATCCCACCTTAAAAGGGTGGAAACCAGGCATGGAGAGGTTCAGGAACTCACCGAGGGCCACAGAGAAGCTGGTGGAGCAGGAAGGAATGTTCCTCGTGGGCCGAGTCTCCTGGATTTGTGACAGTGGGGTCTTTGCCAGCAGAGGTCACGGATGGATACGGAGCGAACCTCCTCTTTTTGTGAAGTCAGAGTGGTCATTTATTAAGGATACAGAACTTTGGAATATGGAGCATATTTTCGAGAAAGTGAGTTTGTTAATATTGTGAGTCTTGATAAATGTTTAACTCCTTGCTCTTTATGAGTGCTCAGTAATTTCCTTTGCAAAGTATCACATAAAAAGCACAAATGAAGGTGAGCTCCCTGGTTTGGAGCCTGCGAGGGCATTTCTCGCTGCAAGGGAGTGGCTGTGACGTTTCCAGGGTGGGGGTTTTTGGGGTTTGGTTTCCCCCCGGATGGAGGTAGGTAATTACTACAATTCTTACTTTGTGTGGTTTGTCAGTTCCAAAGCTGAATCATTTTACAACATCTGACCCTGTGTTATTGGGTAACCATAACACATGGCCTTTAACTGTTTTTGGTTTCAGGCTGGTGTTTTTCTTGGTTAAATTGGTTAAAGTAAAACCTGGATGTCTGACTACAGGTGTGCTTTGAGTAGTGCGGTTTGAACCACAATTTTGAAAATACCTGTGGTATTTTTAACCACCATTTGGTTTACTGTCTTTTTCTTCTTTTCAACATGTGAAAGTTTATGACTGTCGTGCTTTCACCATCAAAAGTTACGATCTTGGTCTTTCCTCCTTGCCTCTGTGTAAGGCCAGAAGAGAGACACTGGCTACTCTGACCACCTTAAAGTGGACTCCAGGTATGTCACCAACAGCATGACCTTTGTGACCAAATCCAACAACCAGAACTTCATCATTTTCCTCAATAAAATTCAAACAACCATCACTGGGTACAAAGGCTGTGATTTTTTTTTTTTTTTGCCATTCTTGATTAGCTGAACCCTGACACACTTCCTGACAGCAGAATTTGGCTGTTTGGCTTCAGCCCCTACTTTTTCGAGCACAGTTCCCTTTGCATGAGAAGCTCTGCCGAAAGGGTTGGCCTTCAGGGCTGTGCCCAGACGGGCTTTCTGGTACTGCTGATCATGCCATTCTGGTCTCACCAGCGGCTGCGGAGCTTCCTGGTAGGACAAAGGCTGCGACGCTTGCCTTCCCTGCCGGTGCCACGGGCTGGAGCAAAAGAAGGGTTCGCTGGTCTTTATTGCTTCAGCGGGTCCTGAACTTTCTGAAGTTCTGTCTTCTGTAACAAGATCTCTAAATCTGCCACACTTAGGTCACAGGTTACTCCAATAAAGGATTGAAAACTCCACTGGGGGTATTTGGAGCACTGGCCTGACACAGCCTGTGGGTTTTTTTCCCTTTCTTGTGGGATTATCCTTTGACCCACTACCTGGTTTTTTTTTTTTGGTGGAGGGGGAAGGGGGTTCTTATGTTTGAGGTGAACAGGAGGGGCCCTGTGGGGCACCACGAGGTGAAGGAGTGTGGGTTGGGGGTAGAGCCCATGTGATGCTTACAGTCGCCCTGCTGGTTAGTCTGGACAGGCCAGCCCTGGGGGCTGTCTCCAGTTCAAAGGGGTGCCCATGGGCTCCTTGAATTACAAAGCCAGGAATTGCTCCTAAAATCAAGCTTGAAGCAGGATGCTTATGGTACAATTTGTCTCTGATTCTCTTGGGACATCTACCTCTCGTCTTGCTTCCTGTTTCTAGGCAACATCTTTTGGTTTATACTGAACTTTCCCCTTGATCGTAAGTCTTAGAGCCGAAGGGAGGACAGAAAAGCAACATCCTGTTTCTTCTCTTTCTGTCTGTGCTGACACTGAAAATACTGAGTAAGTTCAGGCTCAATAAATGTGAGAACTTCCTTAAGGTGTTTGAAGGAATTACTCTTTGTCTAATTCTCGCTCTGCTTCTTTCTACCAATATTTTGGTGGGTTAGGGGGTTGGCGTCTTGGGGCGTCTTGGGAGCCAGGAGAGCTCTTACGATCATCTTCAGCTAGTCCACGTTCAGACAGATCCCTTTCAGATCATAGAAGTGAGATTTTTCTTTGAAGCTGTTGTTGGCAGGGAGGCCCACGTCAGGTGGGTCCCTGTCACCATGCAGGTGTCTGGGTTCAGCCGAGGACTGGGAGGAGCCTCCGAATCAGGAGAGTCCTGTTCGCTGTGTCGGGGACCCTGACTGACGAGGCCCCTCAGGAGCTGGGAAGAAAGATTGGCAGGAACAGTCAATTATTTAAGGCAGGTACTGATAAATTTTTTTTCACATATTGAGATATAGGGAAGTCATTCTGGCTTATATGTGAGTTAACTTGAATTTTTTGCTAACTAAAATAGCATGTTTGTGGCCTATCGAACATACATTGTACATCTGCTTTAATTGTTAAAGCAAAGGCAACATTGACCAGAAGTAAAGACTGTCCACGTTAAAAACAAAGGTTAAACGTCCTTCTTCCTGCTGGTCCTCTTTTGATGCTAAGACTCTCCTCCCAGGTGCCAAGGGCACACTGTACATACTGGACGTGTATGTGCTGGTCTGTTTTTCCTTTTCTTTTTTTTTTAAACCTTAAAGAAATGTATCCCTTACTTGTTTCATGTTCTTTCTTCTGACAAAATACAAAACTGTGCTGAAAACCCTGCTTCTCCGGAGCAGTTTCTCAGAATAACTTAGGAAGCGGGCTTCTGCACTAGTCCTCGGTTTGGCTCAAATCAAACTCTTTTCTTGTTATTGATTGCTTATTGATTATTTTCATTGGCAGCACCCCCAGGCAAGTGCCCTGGCCTCACCCCTAGTGTCAGCTGGCCTGTCTGTCTGTCTGTCTGTCTACCTTCTGGCTTCCTGAGGTCCTGACTCCATGTCCTGTTCGTTGCCTCCCTTTTACCAGAAATTCTGACATCCGTGTTCCCAGGCCGCACACTTGACCCGAGTTCCCGACAGACGTCTTGCTGGGTGGTTTGGCTGTAGATGTTTTGGGCCCTGTGTTGCCCTCTGAACACAGTTAAGGCCAGTCTTAACTGCCAGCAGAGGGAACGCAGGCCTTTCCCCTGCACCGTGTGTCCGCAGACAGGGCAGGAGCGCCGGCTTCACGAGGCACATCGGACGGTTCCAGAGGAACTAAGACACGGCGCTCCTGTACCTGTTGTTTCTGTGAAGGCACCGGGGACAAGAGATGGAAAGTGGAGTGGCAGTTTGGGCCCATATATGGGTCTCACTTCAGGCCAAGTTTATATTGGGAAGGAGGCTATCTTGGGAGATAAGAAGTGAAAATTCTTACCAGTGTGACCGAGGACTGGACCCTGCCTGTTGACAGCAATGAAAGGAAACAGGATCATGTGAGGCGTGTCCGAGGGGCTGTGGGGTTGCTGTCATTTCCCCCAGAGCCATCCCTGCTGTCCCCTTCTCCTTTCCATGCTGCTGTCCTGTCTTTCTCTCCCGGGGATGGAAGCAGCGAGCAGGTGGGGGAGAGTTACTTCAATTGGGCCAATGGCACCTACATCGGAACCCCAGGGGCCGGATCTGCCCAGTGACTCTCCCAGCGATGAGGGGACAGACCTCATCGCCAAGGCCCTGTCTTGGGCGAGGAAGATGGGCTTCTCTTTGCTGTCTGTGTCTTTCCTCTTTGCTGTGCACTTAGTCCTGGTTGTGGAATGAACATTGTCCAGCTGTTCATCAGTTTCATGGTTCATGAACACGCCTGCCCCACATGGCTGAGTGCTGTGACATCGTTTGTGCGTGTGTCCCGCAGGTACCATGAGGTTTTTGTGCCCATTAAGTCTGTCTGCATGCTGTGATCAGGGGCTGGCACCGTAACGGAAAGGTTCCTGGTGACTGTCTCGGGCCCACCTGGGAGCAGTGGCTGGAGATCTGGACTAAGGGCCCGTCTGTCTGATAACGGCCTTTGTGGGAGGCTGGAGGAGACCCTAAGTGTGGGCAGAGGAGCGTGTTGGGAGCCACAGGAACAATGGAAGCCCTATGTAGGCTGCAAGACTGGGTCAAGACCATCTCAGGAGACCTTGGGCTCTAATCGCAGGGGAAGTGGGTTACAGCAGGTGGAGATCCGTTACTCACCTTCCATGTGTGACCAGTCCTGGAAGTTCAGTTCTTCAGTTTTAGTAAAGCATGAATGACTTATAGACCTGCTGGAAGTATCTCAACCAAGGAGATAACCGTGTGTCTAAGCAAAGCATGGTCATAGAGGCGTTACCTTGATGGCTGGGTTTCCACTTTCGTTTTTTGGAATCTTTGAAGATAAAGTTCCACCTGGCTTTCAAAGTTGTCATGATGATACAAAATCCTGTATCAGGGATGCTGAAGAGAGGATTTTTGTGCTGTTGGTTATTGTGTTACCATGGATGGACGTGGTCATCTGAGATGAAGAGCTGGCTCACTTGGGTTTGTTTCAAATATCCTGACCCGGGTGGGGAGATGCGCTCCCTGATATGTGGGTTTTCAGATCTCACAGCTGACTCGTTCCTTCATCCACAGAGGAGAGAACACGAGATCCGTGGACCTCTCGGACACCGCAGGCCCAGCCGGCCTTCCAGGGAATATCAGTACTTGTTAGCTTTCTAGACTCTCTGTCGCTCCGAGTACTGAAGTCCTTTTTAAAGCTCTGTTCTACTTCCTACATTACCCTCCCAACCTACTTCCTCCCAGGAGGAGACGAGGCCTTCGGTATCTGCTGTCCTGAGAGTGGAGCCAGTGTGGGCAGGCGCAGGGAGGCCCAGGGAGAGACTTATGGCCTCCGAGGACTTCGTCCTCACAGTGAGGGGAAGGGACTCCCGGGGGCTGAGAGTCCCAGTAAGTGTCTGGACTCGAGGGCCTGGCCACGCAGGCCTGTCTTTTTACATGAGCACTAACCTGGCTGATTTTCCCTTTATTAGAATCTGAATCTGCATCTCATGTTAAACCTCAGGTGTTGCTTCAAGAACTTTTGAAAATCGTCGCCATCATTCATGATGATGAGTATATCTGTGAAATGCAACATTCGTATTATTATTTTTTAGTGTGGTTTTGATGAAACTGAAAAATAATATCGTGCATAGAACGAGTGGGGAAGATGAAAGTTTGAGTCCCAATGGCGCATCAAACTGACTGCGTGACCTTGGGGAAATTACTTAGCCTCTCTG